CTCCGCCGGTCTCGAAGCTGTGGATACGGGGGCGGGGGGTTGCTGGCGCTTCCCGTGCAGATCTCCCCTCAGCCAAATTGTGACCCATGGTAATACATCCTCTCTTTGTTAAGAAAGTCCCCATTTGTGACGATTTTACTGAAAACCTCTCGTCTCGCGCCCCACCAGCGCATCCTGTGCCCCCAGCCTGCCCCTCGGGCCGGCTCTCGGGGAGGGGGGCCCATGAGCCGCCCCAGCTCCGCTGCCCTGCGCAGAGCTGTTCTCCACCCCCCTCGCCGGGGCCCGGGGGCCCCAACAAGCCCTAATGGCCTTGACCAGCCTCACCGGGGGCCTGGACCCACAGCCATGGCCCAGGAGCTCCGCTGAAGCTCAGCCCAAGGGCTCCAGTCCCTGCCCGAGCGGCGTTGGGAGCGCTTCTCTCCCTGCCTCATCACCCCAGACCCAGTCCTGACCTGCAGACCGACTTCCCGGCTTGACCTTGGACCTGCTTCAGCACCACGAATGTGCCCAGTGATCTCAGCTCGTGGTTGAACCTGGCCACCATCTCCGGGTCGGTTCTGCTCACGTTGTTCAGGTACTGGAGGACGGGGTGCTGGCTGGTGACGCTCCAGCTGTGCCATCCCCCATGGCTCGCCTTTATTTAGGGAGCAGCCCCACTCTTGCTGCTCCCCGATACTTGTGTGTTACTGTAACCTCTCTCCTGTTTCGGAGACTCCTTCTTCCCCATCTCAAAGGCCCACCTACAAAGTGTGTAGCAATTTATTATCTTTGAGCTCAGTATAAAAAGTAAATTATTTAGGGGGATGAACGGGACTACAGGGGGAACCATGAGTAACAGTCAGTCCATATACTGGGAAACTGGGAACCGCAGACAGTGACAGAGGAGCCCTTTGCTAGCAGGCGCTGGCAGTTCAAGTGGGATGGAGGAATTCCGCTACCCAGACACAGGAAAAATCCTGATGGATCAAAGACAGGCAGGGGCTAGGCAGGCCGAGGTGCAACCGTCCATCTGTACAGGTCCTATGTTTAGGTAGGACATCCTTGATTTAAAAGTCTTCCTGAGGTGCAGAGACCGGTGAGACTTCTCAGCAACGGTGCTGGGAGGAGAAAAATCTGCCACGGATGAGACAGTCCAGAGCGAGCACCGGTCAGCTGGAGGCTGAGCTCGGTCCCGTGGGTCAGCCCCGGCGGGCTGCTCCGTGCAGGGCTCAGTCGCCTTGTTTCACTAGGACATCAGACAGGTCCTCTGTGCCCTCCAGCTTCAGGTTCTGGGAATATAAGAGAAAAGCTAAGTTCCACAAAGCCAGCCTCGTTCCCTCTGAGGCCGAAGGCCTGGCATAAAAAAAACCCACCCCACACGAGGAAGGTTCAGAACAACGCCAGCCCCTTCTGTCACCACAGCGCACGCAAAACCAAGGCTTCCCATCGGCTGTTGCTTCGGAGACTGAAACACTCACGATGCTTAGAACACTGAGCAACAACGTGCTCACCCCTCTGCTGCCAGACCCACGGACAAGAAAGGACAGACAGCAGTTACACTGGAAACGCTACAAGCGCTTAACCACGGACTGTCGTTCCTAGCGCATCCGACCAATTTACGTTCACTATAAGCATGAAACAGGGACGTAAGTTGAGAAGTCCTGAGGTAGCCCTGACGTGGCAAGAAAACTGCCCTGCTCTTGGTGCTTTTCACGGCACGTTTCACCCGCCGCTCCTGCTTGCACGCTGCGCTTACCTTCTCGTTTGCCAAATGCAAGAGGCAGGTGAAGGCTAAGGGGACAGACAGGTTGCTAGCCATCACAGAAGGCAGCCTACAAAAGAGAAGGGAGGAGGTTAGGGTGGCCAGAGCCTACTGCAACCCGCTGGACGGAGCATGCCTGCAAGGACCAGGTCGCCAAAGATTAGCTCTTCCCCAGGGACCTGGTTTTCTCTACCTTTCCCGCCCCGCTAGCAAAGAATTTGCCAAGCTGAATGCAACCCCTGGCTCCCCCGGGCAAACCCAGAGAGCAAGGGAAGAGATTTTTTCCCCGTTAGGGTTCAGTTAGCAGGCTGTAACAGACACAGGAGGGGTCAGCGTTTGCCCAGGCTCAGCTGAAGTCTGTCCCCACCTTCAGTCCAACCTTTTTTAGGGCGTCTCTACCTGTGAAGCAGTTCCTTTGTGATGCCGCTGAAGACCTTCTCGCCGGCTACTACTGACCTGTCGTTCTCTTTCTCTGCATCTTCCATCTATTTCGCAAAAAGACAGAGACTGCTGAGACAGATTTTGCTCCCCGCTACTCAGCCTTGTGTTCAGAGAGAAATCATAGCAAATTATGCTCAGTCTGTCCTTACCAACCACCCCATGGGAGCAACACCAGTAGGAAGGAATTGCTGCTAAACCCACCCAAGGCTGTTTCCGCAGGAGTCACGCAGGTACGTGCAGGGCGTTCTCTTATCCTCGGGCCTGTTGAGGTATCTGGCTCCCCCTGCACTCACCTCTGCCACTGTTTCTTTCTTCTGTCCATCAGTCAAGAGGTCCCACATGTTTTTCTTCAACCTCTTCATGTCCATTTTCTTGGCTGTTTTTGCATACTGAATTGCTATCTTATTGACCTGTGGAAAAGAAGTCTAGGGTTAGCTGAGAGCAGCTGAGCAGAAGCAGCAGCACTATCCTCAGTCAGGACCACAGGAACAATCAAAACATGATTCTCCTTGGGAACAACGGTGAATGCTATCTTACTACTAAACCTTTGACTGTTTTTTTTTTTTTAACTCCCTTCTCTCACAAAGGGTTCATCTGGGAATAAAGTGTCCAGCAGCAGACCCAGGAGACCCTGCACCAGGGAAGCTGCTGTCTTAGGACTTCTAACCACCCGAGGTGTTGAGAGGCTTTGCGCCAGACCTGCCCAGCGAGCAGTTCACAGCTCGGCGACAAGTCCTTACCTTCTGGGGCTCAGCAATGAGGTTCAGCTCTCCGTACGTTGTGATATCGACACCGCCGCCGACCCTGCTGAGCTCAGCGTCTTGACCCTCGGGGTGGGTGGTGAGGTTGAACTCCCCTGTCTGGCCCATGAATTGAATGGTGTTGTTATCATCGTCGCTGTCTGCAGCCTGGTCAAGAAGACATACAGCAGTGAGGCCACCCAGAGACATCTTTGAGGAGCCAGAGATGTCCCGCACTGAGATAACACGAGCACCCGCCTCTCAGGAGGGTGGCGATACCTGCCCACCTTCCCCATGGAACGTGTTCTTATTCAGCTTCTCCCCATGGCGCTTAGGCTGGGCTAAGACTAAACCCAAGGGACATCGAGAGCGCACAATATCAAAAGACTGTTCTACGCGGAAAGGTAAGAGAGACGAGGGCTCTCCTGCCAGTGTGGGACCAGCCGAGACTTGCCACAAACACACTCAGGAGGCAGCACTGGCCTGGCAGGAAGCTGAAGCTTTAGAAGAAATCTACTTAAACGGGAGCTCAAAAAAGCCGGGAGCCAATCTCACTGTGTACAGATGACTGCAGAGGTGAGCCATGGCATTGACTCCTACTTTAGGGCACAGGTGTATGGAAAAGGCTGGAATGGAGTTTCTGCAGCAACTGACTGGCAAACAGCAAAGGCAGAGAGTTTAGTTGATGTCACTAGAGTGAGGGGACAGGGGCATGACAGACTCCTGCAGCTTTGTCATAATCTGCAGCTCCAATTCTTTGTCACTAGTAATTAGTTCTGGACACAGATTCTTCCTAAACTATTTCCATCACATATCAAATATAGGCAACAGAAATCTTCTTGTTCCAGTTACCTGCAATGCAGGGCAGAAATTGGAGGTGTCATTGGGGTTGTTGTAATCGTACTCGCCGATCTCATCTTCGTGATCTAACGAGCTGTCTGGCTCAGACATCCTGCAGAGCTACGGAGACAAAACCAGGGGTCAGGAAAGGAAAAACTCTAAATACTTCCCCAAGCAATGCCTGCACCTTGTTCCTTCACCACCTCCCCTCTTCCCAGCCTGCTGGCTCTTCCTCCTCCTCCTCCTCCTCCTCCTCACATACCCACTCTATAGCAAGCCCCTTGTAAAGCACAACAGCTAAGCAAAGCCGCTTCGGCATCTACAAGCAGATCAGTTCAGTGAGAGACATGCTGGCCCATCTGCAGCCCTGAGGAGCATCCCGAAACACTTCAAGCATTCAGTGAAGAGTGGTTTTGCACATGGAATCATTGCCAACAAGCTTCTAGAGAAGACTCCTACCTTAACAACGGGTTTGAGGAACAGCTGGAGCATGTTGTTAGGGTCATAGTTGAAGTCTGTGGGAAGCGTGGTGCTCTTCACATTCTGGCTTTCCAGAATGGATTTGGCTAGAGTTACAGGTGCCTGGGGAAGGTCATAAATACCATTACCCACGAGCTATCCACTACTTGGACAATTAATGCACAAATAGGTGCTTTGAACACAGGTCTTCTGAAAGGAGGCAAGTTCTGAGATGCCTCCAAAGAGAAGTTCTACACTGGTCCAGTCAGCGCACCCCGTGGCTTCTGTGCTGCTCCCTGGGATGCACTGCTGGACCCGCAGCATCTCTTTGACTGACAGGGTATAAGCCAGGAAGAAGCAAGCCTGATTCTCCACCCCAAGGTTTGTAAAACTCTCTACTTGTAACATGACCTGGAGTCAGAAAACCCTGCACCGAGGAACATAGGTGATGTTGGGTTTACAGAGCCGGTTTCACAGGAGCATGAGATAAGCCATTTGCAGGTGACACTTCCAAGACACGCCGATATGGCAAAAGAGAGAGCAGAAAGAGGCAGAAACTCAGCACGTACCTTGGTCTTACGGAAATATGCATCAAAGTCAATATCCTCATCAAAGTTAATTTCAAATGCTTTCTTCGCACTCCTTTTCTTGGTCTGTTTTTCAGAGCCAGCACCTGCTGCAGAAAGGAAGGAAACTGTCAGTGTTTTGTGACAGAGTAAGAACAAGCAGCTCACTCCTAACTTGAGCACCTGCTCCGCACAGAAAGGTCACCTACAAGGACTTTTCCCTTTGTTACGGGAAAGCAATAGGTGTTGTTCTCAGCATCGTGTTTTAAAGGGATCAGCATCTTTTTATAGAAGCAGAAAGTGTAATTTCATCTTCAGTATTTATGCAGAAGGTGCAAAACAACAGCAGGAGCTGTATTAGTGCCAGTATCTCCTATTGCTGCGGTGAGAGTCACCCCCTCAACTTCGAGCATCATTTACAAACCCAAACAACAGAGAATGCGTTAGACACCAAAGGATCCGCGTGTGACAGAGCCCTGCTGGTGTCTGACCTCAGTACTGCTTCTCATCTGGCTAGAAAAGAGCCATGCAGGCTTGTCCCCCTCTTTACTGTCCCTACTTTATGATTCAGATGCCACCCATCTCCAAAGGTTAAGCAGGACTTGGTGGTAGCCGCATCTGTAGCATACGAGTCGCCGTCTCTAAATACATACATTTGTGTCGAGGTTTGAAACGCCAGTGCTCTGGGCCAGCCCACATTGAGAGAGTTCGGGGACTGAAGTAGGAGTATTCCCCTGGTTTCATGGAGAGATGAAGGCACATGGTCCCGATGTCTCCCTCTCCAAAAGGAACTGCATCAGTTCTGGAAAGAGCACACATGCTGCTCAGTGAAATCATTTCTTTGGCACACACCGGGCCTGAGCGTGCATTTAATATCCAGATCAGCTCTGTACAGGCATCGCCCGCTCTCTGTGCCAGCGTGTGTGCAGAACTCCTGCTCTCTAATCAGTGAACGGTACTGTGGGTGTTCACTGTCTGGAGTCCGTGAGGCTGCTGCAAAACTAGAGGTGGGTCTGCCAAAGGGCAGGCTGGAAACTGGGCAGCGGAGTGAGCAGACAAGCAATCGCTCTGGGGAAATGTGACCATATGAAAAGGTCCTCTTGGAGGGTAGAGATATTATTGTAATGCATTCCTGGACATACCCGAAACTTGAGCAGAAAGCAAGCTATAGCCAGATGGGAAACATGTACTCAGAGAGCTGCCAGAAGTTGTAGCTGTGCTTTGATAGTAAGCGACAGGTTTTCAGTGACTACTTACTTCTTGCAGACTGTTCCAAAGGAGTTGAGGTTTTCTGTGAATTCCCCAATCTTGTCTGTTCCTGTACTCCGGGGGGAGTCAGAATTGAAGTTGTCATCTGGCAGGGTGGGAACACAGTCTTCCATATCACTGTCTATCTCCGCATTGATATCAAACACTTGATCACTCTTCTTAAACTTATCCAACAGGGCTGACACTGACTGTAGGAGAAGAAAGTGCTCAGGAAAAAAATTGCAAGATAGCAGCAGCCCTGCAGTGCAACATCCCTGTGTATCTCGGAGATCGCCTGGGAGGTGAGCACAGAATACAGCTCAAGTATCCCACCCCGCTCAAGTATCCCACCTGGCATGGAGCTAACGAACATACCTCATCGTGGGATTCAGCATCCCACTTTGTAAACTGGAAACCAGCCAGCGAAGAGCAGATGGGACGTTTCTCAACGCACTGTGTTAGCAGGGCTAGAAACAAGGAGAGCAAGGGGGAGAGATTTGATATAGGATGAAGCAACCAGCACCTAAAACAAGTGCCAGGCATTAAATCATTCTTAAAGCTGCATATGTAGGCAGCACTTCTTCCATGTAGGGCTGTGCAGGGCTCACTGCAAAAGCAGTCGGGCTTATTTCTCAGCGGAAAGGGAGAGTTCAGTTGCTACCCTAACTTGAGGGTGGGCATAATGCTGGGAATCTTACCAGAGCAGCGGGGTTTGGTAGTATGTACAGGCTCAAAACACTCTAAGAAGGTCAGTCCTTAACCTGGAGCACACTAATCTCAGCTGCTGCACAGCTCAGACCACGCATACGTGCCAGAGGTTAAGCTACACGTAGTGATCTAAAACCTACAAAGGTCCTGTTTTTCCAGCAACCAGTCTCAACTGGAGCAGAATCAGAGCTGAGACTAAAATGAGCACGCTTGGGAGAGGAAAAGGATCAAAAGGTCTGGATGGGCCCCTTTGCTTGGCGGTTACCGGCACTCACGCTTTAAATCGGTCACTTTTACAGGATCAGAGCTTGGCAACGTGAGCGTCTCTGAAGAAGGGAGAGGCACGATCTTCGAATCGAAGAGGAGCTCACTGTGCCAGCTTTGGGTATGCAGCCCAGTGAGGAAAATGCCAGCTGTGCTGCATTCATCAAAAGATGCGGCTGTTTTCTGGAACATGGGATCAACCTACGGGGATGGAATGAAACACAGAATCAAGGAATGGAGTAGATGGAGGGGGTGAAGCAGGTCTCTGCAGGAGACTTTTAAATACAGATCTGAAGGGAGAGTGACCCATGCATCTTTTTCAGCGAGGAGAGAACTCTCGCAGCTGCCTCACACAGGAGGAATATACGTGACTAGGAACAATCTTGCTGTAATAGCAGAATTCAGAGACGTGAATGTTATAGCCCAAGAGAGGAATGCACAATAGGGAAAACAATAGAAATGAGAAAGATGAGGCGACATCTCCTTGCCCCCACCAGAACGCAGCTGCTGCAGCAGCCCCCCTCCACCCACCTCACATCTGCGATTAGCCTCCGACACATTGATGTTATTCAAGTTCTGCTCGATGGTTTTGAATGAGTGCTTTTTCTTTTTCTGAACTGTCTTGACAGCCTCAGGAGCTGGACTGTCTTCTAAAAGGAAAAGAAGAACAAGCTACACTTAGAAAACTTCCTAAAATACCCTACGGAGGGATAGCAGAACTTTTACTTCAGTTTGTACAACAAACACACAAAAACCCCATGGACGTGAAGTTACCCAGTTAGGTATTGTCCAGGTTTTGGCTGGGATAGAGTTAATTTTCTTCTTAGTAGCTGGCATAGTACTGTGTTTATTAAACTGTTCTTATCTCAACCCAGGAGTTTTCTCATTCTTACTCCTCCAATTCTCTCCCCCATCCCACCGGGGCAGGGGGAGTGTTGCTGAGTTGCTGGCTGGGGTTAAACCACGACAGGTATCTCTTAGCATGAACCACCAATGTTTCATTGGCTAGATGCTGTCTTTCTTTTTATCAACTCTATTTTATCTTAACAGCACATTTTCATTTCAAAGCAAAGAGTGGGGCACTTCATTTTTAATGTTTCAGATTAGGCCACCTCTGGTTTGCATTCAAATCTGATGGGCCAAATTGTTGAATACAGGACTGAGCAACAGATTCATGTTCTCGTCTCAACCCTCCCTGCTCAAGCACCCAGGCAAACTGGTTCGGTATTTCCCAGCCCTTGAAAAATGGAGTTAGCGGTACTCTCCTAGACGTACAAAGCGCTTCGAAATTCATGGGTGCTACGTAAGTACACCGACATTTCTATTCTGTGCAGGTGGAACAGTAACAGCTGAACAGAAAATGAGTGAATGGCGCACCTCCTTCTGGGCTGTCCACGTCTTTTGTAGGTGCCGAGTCTTTGCCCAAGCCTCCAAGAACTTTGTAGGTATCTGCGTGGACCACGTCCACGCGCACGGCGTAAATCTTTGCACTGGCATCAAGCGTGCCAGCTGCTACCTGACAGGAGGAACAAAGGATGCAATTTTTACTTAGAAAGGAAAAAGTTCTCATCTAGAAGATGCAGACGCAGAAGACAAGCCGAAGACCTGAATTTCTGAATGCTCTGCATTAAAAGCAAAATTGTGAACCACTGGAAAAGGATTTATCCTGAAACCTACTGGAGACCTCGGCGCACAGTCAACGTGTCTTCCCAGGCAGAGCCTACAATTTGCTTTATCAGGTCTTTTGGAAGGGGTCTCGCAGAAGAATACTTAAAAAGTTGCCAAGATTAAGCAATGGGGAGAAGCAGGAAGGTGCAGATTTGCATCTGCCAGGAGACCTCTCTCCTCCACCTCTCCTTCAGGCCTTACTTTTGGGTCATCCTCTTGGTATCATTCCATTTTCCCGAACTACAAAGTCAAAAGAGGTGAAAGCGCAGGAGATGCCAAGTGCCCTTTTTGATCATAGACCCCCCCCAAGAAGGTGAAGGACCACCCACTGAAAACCTGTGCACTATTTCCCGTCCCTTCCTCGCTTTCATCAACCATAAGGCAGCTAGCTCAGGGGTTCCCTGAGGCCACGTTCAAAAGCTCTGCCATTTGTTCATTCATCCGAGAATTCAGTTCTCCCTCCTAGCATCAGTGAACTATTAAGTTCTATTAACTAACTGTTAAGTAAGTCTTTGCCCTGGCAAGTTCTTATTCTGACCCATCCCAGATCAAAATTAGTCCAGGAGTTAGCCACGCTAACTTCCTTTCTTTTACAGCCTTGTTTTGTTACTGGTTGTAACACCCAGTATTTACCTCAGAAGCCTCACAAGTCTTACTTTTAAACAAGCTCTCCTTTTGAAGGACCATAACTGAAAGAATTCAGCCTTTAATTTCTGCGGTACAAAAGGATTCAGTGCTGTAAGCTTCTGCCAAAAGTGACTGTGCTGCCTCTGCCAGATATTTTTAGTGGAAGTAACCAGCTCAGCTACCTCCAGCATTATTTGGGGTTTGTTATTGAGTAAACCTTAGGCTAAATGCCACTCAGAGACAAAGCACCACTGTGACTGGGCAGTGATTCCTCTCACCTTGAAGTTGGTCAGTTCAGAGTCCTTCTGTTTCAGGATCTCGGTCATGTAGTCTATCAGGTGTAAGCCAAAGGCATTCTTTGTGGTGATTTTCTGAAACAAAGCACAGCTCAGAAGTGATTCCCTGGAAAACGCCGCCTGTCAAAACTGGCTGAACCCTCATCCCGCCGGGGGTATTTACAGCAGGACCGAGGGCATACGGTCCGTGCCACGTCCCGCTTTGTTCCTGCTGCGAGGGCAGCGACAGGGGCCCCGATCTGGCCGTGGCTCGGGTCAGGGACGTGGCTCGGAGGGCTTGGAAGAAGAATAATAATTCTTCT